CTATGTCACAATGATATAATTTTTAGTGTTTATTAATAAATTTTTAATGAAATTTTTAATTATTAATAAATTGATTGTTACACATTAAATCCTGTGTCGGCTCTAATAGGCATTGAAAGATTTTTATGCAGATTATTTCTAGAGAGCATTTATCTTTTATCTATTGTTTCATAGCAATTCTGCCAAATTCTTGTCATGCATTTATAATGGACACAATCTTCGCAACTTTCAACCTTGCTGTTACATAATTACTCTACACATTTATTAATACAAATTTTTTTTGTGGTTTTTTTTCGTACTGAAGAGGACCCAAACAATAGGATCGAAACGTTTATCTATGTCACAATGATATAATTTTTAGTGTTTATTAATAAATTTTTAATGAAATTTTTAATTATTAATAAATTGATTGTTACACATTAAATCCTGTGTCGGCTCTAATAGACATTGAAAGATTTTTATGCAGATTATTTCTAGAGAGCCTTTATCTTTTATCTATTGTTACAATAAATTGTTAATTAAATTTATAAATTCTTCTTAATTGACTTCTGACACTTTAATAATAGTTTCTCAAGTCCCCCTTGATTAATCAAATAAATTGTCAGAAATGCTCTAAAATATGTACGGTGTGAAAATCAAAAGAAAAGCGATCGGTGCTGCGCCGCGCGCCGAAATACGCTCTTGCACTTCGCACCCGATTTTCTCATAATCTCTTCTACTTTAACTTCTGACACTTTGCACATACTTTGCTCTATACGTAAACAGTGTAAATTCAAATTGTCAGAAGTTTTCTTTAAAATGTAAATTTTCCGATATTTTTCGCAACTTTGGCAGCTTCTGACAACCTTTTAGCTGCCGCGGAAAAGACGCCGGGACCACTCCGGTCCCCCACGACCGCTACTCTCCTTGGAGAGGCCGTTGGATGTGGGAGTCACTCTTTTGCAGTGGCACTTAATCCCACTAGACAAACCGGGAGAAGCAACTAGCGAAGATCCCCGACGACGACGACCTTCCTGCGACGCAGCGACACAGACGTGGCCACCGTTGCCACTAGATCCACTACTGCCGCTAAAGGAGCTCTGCGACATTAGACCGCCCATCAGTCCGCTGCCAAAGATGCCGCGAGGAGCCAAGGACACCTGGCCGCAAGAGGACCAAACGTATCAATCCTAGACTGAACCAGCAGTTATATGGATCCGACTCGGACGCCACCAGTGATTAGTACACTTACACCCAACGTACACGCGCCGCAAGGCGCCATAAAACATTCTCCACAGTACCGAAAGGTACCTCTGTACATAGTGTACATAGAGAGTTATAATAAAGATCACAATATATTTTAATTTGTGGATACACCATTATTAAGCGATACCTGTCCACAGTTTCTCAAGTCCCCCTTGATTAATCAAATAAATTGTCAGAAATGCTCTAAAATATGTACGGTGTGAAAATCAAAAGAAAAGCGATCGGTGCTGCGCCGCGCGCCGAAATACGCTCTTGCACTTCGCACCCGATTTTCTCATAATCTCTTCTATTTTAACTTCTGACACTTTGCACATACTTTGCTCTATACGTAAACAGTGTAAATTTAAATTGTCAGAAGTTTTCTTTAAAATGTAAATTTTCCGATATTTTTCGCAACTTTGGCAGCTTCTGACAACCTTTTAGCTTCCACTTACCCTTCTGACAATTTTTTTACTGCTTTTTCTCATGATCTTCGATGTCTATGTAAATTTTCAGCCGTGCACATCGACAGTTTTTTTAGTTAGACAATTTACACGTTTGATCGTCCGCCCACGCATTTACCTTCCAGCGCGCCTTCTGACAGTCGGGCTTTCGCTTTGCTGGCAGCAATCGAACATTTTCCAGGTAAAATATTTCATGCACCGAGGCATGTCGCACCCCATGTAGCCAGCTCTTAGACTATTATCAAACAGGTATAGGACAAAATTTGTATGTTGCTATAAGTCAAGAATCTGTATCTAGATGTATTAATGAAGTAGTAGATGCATTAAATCAGGCAGATATAACGAACCAGTGGATTAAATTTCCCAGAATTTTAAATGAATTAAAATATTTAAGACAACAGTTAGTACATTTAATTCTTTAACAATATAATATTAAATATGTATTTTAATATTAATTTATATATTTTTTTTTCTAAACTACTATAATAAGACATTATAACACATTTCTAGATTTTATGATAGCCATAGATTTCCTGGAGTAATTGGATGCATAGATTGCACTCACGTAGCTATTTTTCCACCAAAGATTCGTGATGCTATAAATCCTGAACATTATACGTTAATAGAAAAGGATATCATTCCATAAATGTACAATTGGTAAGCGTATAATTGTTGTTCTTTTTAAGGTTAGAATTGTTATTATATCATTTGTATTAATATTATATATAATTTTTTAACTCAGGTATGTGATTGGCGTTTAAAAATATTAAATATAAATGCTCGCTACCCTGGAAGCACACACGATACATACATATGGAATAATTCTGATTTAAAAGTAGGAATGGAAAGAATCAACAGACAATGGTCAAATATGACATTTTTCCTTCTAGGTATAAACACATTATATTATATATAGTATACTATATACATATACGAGGTGTTTTTTTAAATTTCGCCCACTGAAATATAAAAAAAAATATTTTTGGATATTTTGACTCAATTTTTGATCAAGAATAGTGCTACACAATAAATGGACATTTAAGAAACAATCTATTATATTAATATTTTAGAAATATATTTGTATTTTGTAATCTTGTGATATATATTTGTAACTTAAATTTTAGAAGCGTTATTAACTATTAATAACTATTAATAACAATTAATGCTTTAGGTGATTCTGGTTATCCTCTACGACCTTGGTTATTAACTCCAATCATTAATGCAGAAGCAAATAGTCCAGAAGAAAGATACAATAGGAGTCAAATGTCTTGTTGAGCTTTAATAGAACGTTGCAATGGCTTATTAAAGATGCGGTTTCGCTGTTTATTGAAACACAGAGTTTTACACTATTCACCACAAACGGCATGCAAAATTATAAATGCTTGTGCTATTTTGCACAATATGTGTATAGAAAATAATATCCCGTTCCCACAATATGATGATGATTGGCAAGATGATATGTTTAATCAGTACATCGGTGATAACAATGAACAAATAGAGTGAATCCTGATTTGGCAGCAGGTAAACAATTGCGAAACAGATTGATTCGTACTTATTTTCGTTGATATATATATTTATATACATATACGAATGCGGAAAAGACCTTACATATAGAATATATACATTATACATATAATGTGTAACATACATCTAATACATAATATTTAAAATGTATATATAACATATAATATAAAATAAAATAGTAATGTAACATACTTCATAAATTTTTTGAATCTTTTATAATAAAAAAAAAGCAGTATCACATGGAATCACAAAGAATTCTTATGCAGTCTTTACTCTGTAGAACTCAACATATAAATCATAATAACTTCTTATTTAATAATAAACATGGATATATTGACAAACTTTGAACTTATAATATTTAATATACGTAATACACATATGAGTAATAAATATTTATGCTCATATTAAATTTAAAAATAGGAACATATATAAAAATAAAACTGAAAAAATGAAAGATCTACAATGCAAGAATTTGCTGTATTATGAAGGATTGCATTTTTCAACAGCATTAACCAATCTTTTTTGAAGTCTTAACTTTCGTTTCTTCAATATTAACTTTTGGTCATAATAAGAGCTTTGGATTTGGTAAGTTTGTTTTGCTACTTCTGCCAGTATCTCTGTTGGCTGTTGTATAGATTGAACATTGTCTAACTTTTTTTTCCTTTTTTTAATTATTGGTGTAGTTGGAGAACCATTATTATCATTTTCATTTAAATTGTATGCACTATTATCAATTAATGAATTTTCTTTATCTTCATTGTTGTTTGCTTCAGTGCTTTCCATGTTAATATTGACTGCATTATTATGTTCACCAATTTGTATCAACTCTCCTACATTCTGCTGAAGATATTCCCCTTCATTTCCAATTATTTCAAAATGTATCTAATAATAAGAAGCAGAGATACATAAATTCATGCGTTCTATTATGTTATAATAAGGAATGTAAAAATAAGGCTAAAAAAGAAAGTAAAGTAAAATAGAAGAGATTGAAGAAATTAGAAAAAATCTATCAATTACAAAAATATATGTAGAATTTTACCTCAGAGTCTGATCCTATGTGAACTTCACTTTCGTTTATCTCTGTGTGTCCATTAATACTTGTGGAACAAATTAAATTTAATGTTGCTGCCTCTGTTGTACTTAATTTTAGGTTAGATTCAGTCCCTCCTCCAGTTTTATTTCGTTCTGCATTTATTTTGCTTTGCGTCATTTTACTACGACATGATAATATAAGTTTTAATGTAATAGAAATTATTCGATTTATATCTATTATATGTAGTATATTAATATACGTTATATACTTACTTTCCGCCAAGATTTCCAATCTTTACTTATACCATTGCAACTATTTAAGATATCTGTTATCTTTTGCCATAAGATGGTTGCATCTTTATATGTAAAATCAGCTGAAAATTTATCCGACAAGAAGCGCGGATTTTTTTCCATATATTGTAATAATAATGTTTTTTGTTCTTCGGTAACATTTGCACTGCGCTTTTTCTTATCCATTTTCGTTTTTCGCGTGAGACCTCTAAATGAGACCACTGTACTGATCTGATTATTATTAAATGACTATTTGTTACTTACTGACAAGTACTCGATGTTTTTACTACAGATAGTTAATAATCCAGTGTTGCCACGTATTCTATTCGTGCAAAAGATACGTACACGAATCTAAATACGAACGCTCGCATTGTGTCTTAAAGAATACATATCGATGATTGAACGATAAACGTATGCGTATTTGAACCATTCGTAAGTTACGTACACGCAAAGTTACGAGTAAGTTAGAGAATCGGGGCCCTGGCAACCGTGGTCCGTGCGCGATTCGGTGCGGCGG